AATCAATTTATATCTTTTATGTAGAACATTAAGATGATTTTTACTTCAGGAGCCTCCTGTTTCTTCTCTGTTGATCCCAAATGCTCTCTTCTAGATAATTAATCTGAAAATGAATATCCACTCAGTAGTTTTGATCCTCTTTGTGAGAGCAGCTTGTATAAGCTTCTTCTAGTCTGCCATGATCAATATTGGTATTGATATGTGAGATACTGTTTTGTTTAGCATGTTGATCATTACCTAGTTGCTTTGTTTTCTCTCTATGTTATTGTTTTATAAGAAGTATAAGTTTTAGGTTTTTGTTTTTGTTTGTTTGTTTTATGCACCTGTGAGTATCAACCATTCTGTTTCATGTATAAAGTACTTTTAATCATTTCTAGTAGGGCAGATCTAGTGGTGAAAATTACCCTTTCCTTGTCTGGGAAAGATTTTATTTCCCCTTCAATTATGAAACTTAGTTTTTCAGGATACAAAAATTTTGACTGGCAGATATTCTATTGAAGAAGACTAAAAATAGGACCCATATTCCTTCTGGCATGTATGGTTTCTTCTAGGAAGTCTGCTTTTAGTCTTAAGGGTTTTCCTTTGTAAGTTACTTGTTGCTTTCCTCCTGTAGCTTGTAGGAATCTCCTTCACTTTGACTTTGATCAGATTGGTGACTACCTGCCTTGATAAAGTCCTATTTGTTATGAATATTCCATAAATTTGATGACCTTCTTGTATCTGGATATCTAAATCTTTAGTAATACCAGGAAAGTTTCCCTCAATTATTCCTTGAAATAAGTTTTCATTACTTTTTGCTTTTTTTTCTTCCTCAGAGAAACCTGATGCTTTTATTCATTCACTTTATAGTTCCATATTTCTTAGAGAGATTGTTCATTCCTGTTAATTTTTTTCTACAGTTTTGGCTAACTGGGTTAATCCAAAAGCCTTGTCTTCAAGCTCCAATATTCTTTTTTCCTCCTTGGTCTAGTCTGTTGTTAAAACCTCTGCATTTTGCTAAATGAGTCTTTTGTTTCTATAAATTCTAGTTCTACTGTATTTTTTCTCATTTTTGTCTATCTCTTCAGTGAATTATCCATTCATGTCCTGAATTGCTTTGTTGGTTTCTTTGAATTGATCCCCAGATTTCTTATCAATCTCATTGGTCTTACTTGCCATCCATATTCTGAATTCCATATCTGACATTTCAAAAGTTTCCTTTTCGTTGGAGTCTTACTAAAGAAATATTGTGATCCTTTAGGGGTGTCAACATAGCCTTTTTTTAATGCAGAAAGAGAGTTCTTACCTTGGTCCTCTTCTCTCAGTTCAAGACACATAGGTTTGGGGTACACCTGTTCTCCTCTGCTGGGAACTCTGTTGCTGAGTGAACAGAAGGAGACATCCCTGGAGGGCATGCTTGAGTCTTACGCTGGACAAGTGACCCAATATGAGTTAGACAGATGTACTATGAGCCTTTAACAGTGCAACTTTCCTATATTTTCCTGGTTGTCATGGGTGGTCAGTGTGCTGTTGTGTTAGTGATTGCCCCACTCAGGTCTGACAGTGACAGTGTCTTTTGGCCCATGAAAGCTTGAGTTCTTCCCTGCCCAGGTCTGACTGCTGCTTTGTCTTTTGGCCTGTGGCAGTTTGAGCACTGCATATCTAGGTCCACAGCTAGCAGCATCTGTTGGTCTGTGGTGGCTAAGTGCTGCTCTGGCACTGCCTATGGGACATATCAGAGCACTTGGCCTACCTGTTCTCTCCCCAGGATACCAGTAGCAATGGATATGCATTCTGGGTAGATGTAGTGCTCTGGGGTTTGGATCTTAAAATGGTACCAGCTACAGTACCCAAGGTTCATAAACCAGGGGGCCTTTCTCTGCCTTTTCTTCAGAGCAATGCTACTGCACAATCTCCAATCAGCTTCCTAGTCAGTCTGGCAGCTGCAGTGGTGGAGTGTACCTCCTGCAACTTGAAGAACAATGTAGGGGTAAATATGGAGCCCTGGGATTCTCTCCTCTGTCCTTTCTCCATATGTGTTCCTTTCCTGTATACTTCTGATCCTGCTGAACTGGTTGCCCAACTTCTCCTTCCTCCCTTAGGGAGCCTCCTGTTGCCTTTCTGTTGATTCCCAATGCTCCATTTTAGTTGATTAATCTAAGGGTGAATATCTATCTACTCACTAGTTTCTATCTTATCCATGAGAACAGCTTAAGCAAACTGCTTCTAGTTCATCATTTTGGCTCCCTCTCTTCAAGGTTGTATTTTTAACAAACACATAGGATCCATCCATGCTGATGAATAATGTCATATTAAAGTCATCAGCTTGAGATATTCCTGTACTCCACCCGTTCCTGTGAGATTGGCATCACTGGTATATACTGGCTCCTCTTATATAATTGTCTTTAAGGTCAGTGTACAAATATGGAAGAAAGCCAGTCTCTTGGCTTCATTTTCTCATCCTATTCAAAAACCTGGTTAGCCAGACCTGCTTTCTAAGAGTGGTTTTTGTATATTTCTAAATAGTAGATATTCTTTCATGTCCTTTCAAAGGATATGAATCTCTATTCTTAAAGGATAGAAGACATTCCAGTGAATGGGTTGTGAGCTCCAAAGGTAATTTTACCAACAGTAAATAGCATCTTCAGAGTAAATATATGGTTTTCTCATGTTATCTGATCTCTCAGGGTAATTGTACTCATTTAGATGAATGAGTTCCCACATTTTAGGTTTAAAGGCTTTATTGATTATGGTCACATTTCACAGAAGAGTAAAATGGTGGAGTAGAAAGAAAGTCAGTTTTGGAGAAAAACTCCCTACCCCACCAAGTATTAGCAGTATGACACGAGGTAAACTGCTTTTTTGAACCTTTCCTTTTCTGTATAACATGGCCAATGATATCAGCACTATTGAGAGGAAAGAATGAGATGATATGTATACAGAACCAAGCACAGAGCCTGGCTCACAGTGGCTACACAATGAATATTCCCTTCCTGTCCTGTCTTAGCTGGGAACTAAGACTTCATATTTATTTCCAGAGTAGAAATTGTGAAGAAGAGTCAGCTTGGGACTGAGACTCACATTTCTAGTCTCATTTATTCTATTTACTTTAATAACCAGATCCTTTGGCAAAGCCTGAGCAGAAGTAGGAGTAATCCCATCCTGAGGCCTAGAGAGTGAGCTTCTCAGCTTTTAAGGAATGAGCTGATTGGTATTTCTCTATGATGCCTACTAGTGTATTTAGGGACCTATTTTCAGGCTAGATACAAATGTTACTTAACACAAAGTCTCTTTTTGATTCTACTACAGTTGATGCTTGAACGTGCTTTTATTTTTGTGATGATATATGTGAGTTTAATAGCTGCATGTCTTTATGAGTCAGGGTCTTGGCACGAAACAGATGACACCTGCAATGGGGAAGACTGGAGAGTTTGATAATAAAGGTACCATTGGAGGAGGATGTGGGCAGGAAAAAGCACCTATCATAACAAAATGGGCAACAATACCACTTCTAGGCCTGAAGAAACAAAGGAACGAAGCAGTTTTCAGCCTGGGGCCACAGTTGAGGACTGTTTGTAGCCGCTGGGGCTACCTAGAGAGAAAGCAGCTATTGCTGATCCAGCTAGAAGAAAGCCAGGGAATAAAGATCCTCATTTCACTCTGTTATGCCCTTGATCTTCTGCCAGTACCACTTGAAGCCGGGGGACAATGATTACACAGGCCAGCTCCCCATGGCCCAAGGCAGAGTGGAGAGGGAGAGGGTGTAGAAATGGAGGAGCAAACAGAATATTCAGCAACATTACCAAATCCTGTACTCAAATAAAATCATGTTTCCCTTTTGTTCTGCTGATAGGAAGAAATTTGCATGTCAGTGGGTAAGCTGACTTATTTTACTCTTCTATCAACATTAGAAACTGTTTTCATGTTAACAAAGATTAAGTAGCTTTGTTTTCTTATTTTTACTGCTAATACCATTTTCACTTGTCACTCTGAGTAATTGTATGTGCCAGATGTAATATAATAGAAAGAGTACATAGGATGGGTTTGAGAAGGACGTAGAAAAGAGAAATGCTGGATGGAATATAATGTGTATTGTGACATTGATACAACATTTTTTGTATTAAAAAAGAAAAAGAACTGATTCTGATGATTAAAGTCTATGAAATCAGTTTCATGTCTCCTGATACTATCCTCTACTCATCTGTTCATTCAGCTCATTTGCTAAAACAATTTTGTCTTTATTATAGCCTATTATTACCGGTATTATTATACTATTTATATTGTTGTCTATATTACCTGCATCTCTATTTTAGCCTATTCTCTGATCTTGACAGTTTATGTAGAAAGATTTACCTGAATGGTTGCTTATTTATGAGTCTAGTAGAGAGCTCATAATATTTAGATTCTTTCAAGCATTGTAAGATGTTCACATGACTGGAGAATAGAATAAGTAATATGATCACCTGGGCATAAAACACAAACTCACACCAAATGTAGTTTAGTATTGCATTCTGATTTTTGTTTAAATGCTCAGTACTTCGTAAGAACATTGTTACCAATTAGAATTTCTGGAGAACACAAATACATGTTGTTGTAAGTAATTTCTTGACTTCAAAGAAGTCCATAAAACAAAATGAATGAGGTTCCAATAAATTATTGAGCACATATGTGGGAAAAATGGAAGCCTCCATTCCTTATTGAAGACACCAATATTAACGTATGGTTTCCTCTGGGATGATGTGGTAAAGATCATATTATCTTCTTAGCAGCAACTAAACATGTATGCAGATTGGCATAGCAGTGTCTAGCCTTGTTCCATTGGTGATACTCAGAATAAGGTTTAGTCAGAGGGGTCTTGATTTAGATTATATCTGCATAGTTCAAAGTAAGCCCCAACAGTGTCATTTTAGACCAATGACAATATTGTCCAAACAAGTCAACTCAAAATACTTCCAGTGTTCTTATCTAGGCTGTCAGAGTATGATTTAATATGTTTTCTCACAAATACTTTGATTTTTCAGTTTCGCTACAAGAGTGATAATCAAGTGAATAATCGGCAGTCTGAAGTGCTCATCGACAGCAAGTAAGAAATACTTTCTTTGGCTTATTCTTAAGATTTCTGGAACATAAAAACAAGTCTTGACAATTGGTGGATTTCTCTTTTAATTAGATATATGTTTTCTTTTCCCCTTCAATTTTTAAAAAACTGAAATGCAAGTTCATTTTATCTTTATAGCTCTTTTAAAAATACTTGATAGTTGCTTGTACTACCCACTGAACTTCTGCCTCAAATTCCTTTGGAGGGTCTTTTGTGGAACACAGGCATAGCTTTGTCACTTTTTATTTCTACATGTAATACTATGTAGAGTCAGCATGCATGTGATGCTTTGTATGTAATGTTTCATGAGTATTTGAGTTATTTAATTTGGTAATTTCTGGGAAAGATTGCTAGAGAGACTTCTGACACAGTACTGTATCAAGTGGTAATGGTACAAATTTTGTATTTCATTGATAGTTGAATTTTTCATTACTTCTATATTCATCCATCAGTAAAGAAATTTTATTTGTGGGAACAGTACTAGAATCATAAATGCTTTAAACACATGTTACACATAAAGAATGGCAAAAACACTTCCATAAAACTTAACAGAGATAAATTTCAAAACTTCTTTCCACAGTATCCCTCCCTCCCTTTGTCTCTCCCTCCCTCCCTTACTTCCTCCCTCTCTCCCTTCCTTCCTTCCTTTTTTTCCTTCTCTCTCTCTCCTTCTCCTTCCTTCCCTCCCTCCTTCCCTCCTTTCCTTCCTTCCTTCCTTCTTTCCTTCCCTGTCTTTTTTTCCCTAGTGATAATAAGTAGCAAAATAAATTTATAGCAACATACTTCAATCAATTACACCAGCCAGTGATTTGAGATCACTCTGATATACTTAAGAATATAATCTTAAAAGAGAAAATCATAAAATGAATTAACCACGTGTGAGGTTATATGCTGAAGATTCCTAGATAATAGACAGCTTAGACAATAAGTAGTAATATTGAAATAATCTCTTTTTATAACTAAAATATTGACTGATTACTCATGACATAATAGATACCTATAGTTTTTCTTGATTGGCTTGATTCAGAAAATGGTGTTAAATGTACACTGAATAAAAATGATTTTAATCTAAAACCATAATTGCTTAAACAGAGCCTTGGAAAGTATGATCCTTGTGTGTCATAGGTAAGCCATAAAGATGCCTGGAATCATGTGGTTCATTTCCAGTTTAACAGATTATTATGGTGTTGAAAGACCACGTTTTATGCTCAGAGAGATTTAATTGTGAGTTTCATCCTACCCCGAGTAATTCTATGGTCTTGGGCAAGTTTTAATCTCTTTAAGCATCAGATTCCTTATCTTTAAAGTGGGTTATGAAGGGTTACTCCCAATGACAGAGTTACTGTGAAGCTGCTGTAAGAAATGTGGCCTGTGTCTGCTGTTAACATTCTCCACATAGCCTTGTTATATCTTTAAGTGCTGGTGACTGTGAACTCATGTAGTATGTGGCTACATACTACATGAGCAGTACTGTTGATCTTGACTTTCTCAAGTCTTGAAGTCCTAACTAGAATAATAGAATATGTCTAATTCCCCATGGAACATCTGATAATCAGTGTCACTATTTTGAAGTCTCATCTCTTATAAAATAAATACAAGTACATGATGGATTTGAACTAATGGCCCTAGCATATATTTTAATGTTTCTCAAATTACCAATTTTAAAATTTGTAGTGATATTTGGATAGTGATAGATATTGGGGCTTCTATTTTGAGGCCGTGTGATTAATCCAGTAATTTAGATATTCGGAAATTTGATGACTATATATCTCCCATACGTACTGGCTATCATTATCATTATTATTGGAAGTAGTGTTAGTGTTACTGTATTGTGGCTTTATTTAGCTTTTTGTTAATTCTTTATGAGGCAGCACGTCTTTGTAAAATAAATCAATATGGTGTGATGTTTTGAGAAGTATTGCTGATCCTGTGAGTTGAAGAGAGAAGCACATTATCATTGAAAATGAGGTATTCTTTAGAATTCAGTGAAAAATAAGGCAAAAATTTCTATCTTCTTCATGGCTTAATAGTATTATTGGTGTGTGTGTGTGTGTGTGTGTGTGTGTGTGTGTTTATATACAGGGTGGCCATAAAGTTCATGTGCAATTTAAAATAGTGTGCCATTTAAAATTGCACATGAACTTATGGCCACTCTATGTAATTACATTTTGTTAATATACTCATGAATTGATGGGTACTTGGGTTGATTCCATATATTTGCAATTGTGGATTATGCTGCAATAAACATTTGAATGCAAGTATCATTTTGATAAAATTACTTCTTTTCATTTGGGTAAAAACTCAGCAGTGGGATTGTTGGATCAAATTGTAGGTCTATTTTTAGTTCCTTGAGGAATCTCCATACTATTTTTCATAGAGGTTGATTTCTGTACATTGATTTTGTAACCTGAGATTCTGCTGAATTTATTTATCAATTCTAGGAGTCTCTTTCCAGATACATGTGTCACTACAAAAGGTATGAGACAGACTGTGTTATAATCCATTATTTCACATCTGAGAAACATAATTGACGGCATCTTTTATGATTCACTTATGTGAGTTTCAACTTCCTTGGCTATAAGTGTTGCTGGGAGGGCTTCATTTGTTTCTGTCCATACAGGTTTTATGTTTCTTGATTTTTGGTTATCTCATTACTTTCATAATGACTCATGTATAAGATCATATCACCAGCAAAAAAGGATAATTTTGCTTCCTTTTTCCTGATTTGGATATCTTTATTTCTTTCTCTTGCCTGACTGCTCTGGCTAATACTTTAGCACTGTGTTGAATATAAGTGGTGACAGTGGCATCCTTGTCTTTTTCCAGTTCAAAGTGGGAATGCTTTCAACCTTTTGCCATTCAATACGATGTTGGATGTGGAGGGAAGTCCCTCTAACTTTCACATTGTTGGAGGGACTGCAAACTAATATAGCCTCTTTGGAAAGAAGTATGGAGAATTCTCAAAGAACTCCAAACAGACCTTCCTTTTGATCCTGCATCTCATTACTAGGCATCTGTCCTAAAGACAGAAAATCATTTTATCATAAGGTCCTTTAAACTAGATTGTTTATTGAAGCTCAATTCATAATTATCAAGATGTGGACACAACTGAATGCTCATCAACCCATGAATGGATTAATAAACTGTGGTATATGTCTACCATGGATTCCTATTCAGCCATTAGAAAAGATGGAGACTTTATATCTTTTGTAGTAACCTAGATGGAGTTGGAACACATTCTTCATAGTAAAATATCACAAGAATGGAAAAATGAGTATCTAATGTACTTAATACTAATATGAAGCCAGTAGATAAACCAGCATATACTCACTCAAAAGAAAAACTCAATTCAATTCAAGATGGGGGGAGGTGGGAGAGGGGCACAGGGGAAGGGATTGGTGTGCTCCTACCTAATGGGCACAATATAAGGGTATATGGTGCATCTCCTGGGTGTGGGACATGACTACACCAGAGACTTCACCTAACAAATGCAAATATTGTGATCTAATCATTTATACCCTCCCATTAATCTGAAATAAAAAACCAATATTAATAAAACAAACTTTTATAGTTGTGAGTAAAGAATGACACCCATAGCAGTGAGTTCAAAAGCAAGCTAATAAGAGCAGTCTCAGTGCTTTTTGAACTCAGTGAAAGTGGTTTAAAAATTAACCCACAGTGAAATTGTTTCAAAATTGCCTTCAACAAATTAATTTTGGTTTCTTAAGTCTTGGATTTACCATTTCTTGGGCAGTTCTTCTTTGTCAGCTTTGCAGATGGAAGGGTCTATTTGCCAATGGGCTGGTTTCTGTGCATGAGCTGTGACGTTGTTATCCTCTTTTAAATGATTTTCCATTGTAATTAATTATTATATTGCATGGACACAAATTTTTTAAGGGTTGAATTTCTAAATGGTGTCTATTTCCCCAGATGAAATGCATCTTGAAATAATAGGAAATTATTACACTTTCAAAATCCTGCACATGGGGTATTCAGTGGCTTCTGCTATTTTTTTTTTAATTTTATGTAACTCAGACAATAGCTTCTCCCTTTTCTTCCCTTAAAGTGCCTTCAGAGAGCTCCCAGATATAAAAGCCTGAAAGAGCAGGGGGGAGTTGACTGCAGATTTTGTGGGGCAGATCACCAAGGAGGTTTATTTCACACACCCTTAGCAGGCAAAGTGACATCCTATTTTAACATCTTTTTTCACCAGACTTCTCCTCCCCTTTGCTGGCCTTTTCAATCTTTCCTTCCTCCATTCAGTGTAGTTGGCTTCAGTCTTCTCTCTCTCAATATCTGGGGCCCCTCACATTTATCTTTCCTTTATTACTGAGAGTAGTTTGATTCTTCTTCAGCTCTGAGCTCAAATCTATTACAGCTAGTCATCAAAAGCAGGTTCCTGTAACTAGGACCCACTTATTCTAGCTGACAATAGAAGTGAAAAATACACCAAATTATATGTAACACTTAAACCTCTGTTTTCTCTCTCTCTCTCTCTCTCTTTTTTAAATAGGTTTATTCATCTTTTCTTAGTTGTTGTAAGGAGGAAATCCAGATTTCTTCTGAAAAAAAAAAAATCTAAACCACAAAAGTTTTGGAGATGTTAGAACATTAATACTAAAAATGTAAAATCTTCTTAGGATCTTAAAATCTGAAAGCTAACAGAGATTAAAATATCATAGTGAATAAAGTTAGTTTTGATTATAGCTCAAAAATTGTCTATTCCAAACCAAACAATTTTTTTTTTTTTTGTAGAGACAGAGTCTCACTTTGTTGCCCATGGTAGAGTGCCATGGTGTCACACAGCTCACGGCAACCTCCAACTCTTGGGCTTAAGCAATTCTCTTGCCTCAGCCTCCTGAGTAGCCGGGACTACAGGTGCCCACCACAATGCCTGGCTATTTTTTGGTTGCAGTTTTGCCGGGGCCAGGTTTGAACCCACCACCCTCGGTTTATGGGGCCGGCGCCCTACTCACTGAGCCACA